ACTTTGGCGTGTGATTATGTACACAGCTACCCAGCCAGTGAGTACACACCAGGCTAGAGCACATCGTCCTCTGGTGAGTCTTGAACAAGGCCTTTCTACTTTTCACGCCATCCTCTAAAAACGATCCCGGTTCGTGTGAGACTCAGTCAGAGTGAATTTATCCGCATCCATCGGACTGGCACCACGCTTTAGGGATCAAGGCATGTGGCCTTGGTGATATTTTGAAATACTACCCGTAACCTTGGTGATGTTTTGGAAATGGGCATACCGGCACCATGCTTGCCGGAATATACAGCGTGCTCCCCCCCCCCCCCCCCCCCCCTCTCGACCAACATTTGCACCGCTCAAGTTTATGTGCTTTTGATACAATACATTTTGAATCCGGTGTATAGTGTCGCTCCAGTATTTTGAGCCTGACATGATGTTTGCAAAGTTTCCAACATAGCCTGCTACGTAGTAATGCGGTGGTCCCTTTTGACTACAGAGCAATAATAGTATCATAGCAGGCTCAGCGGAGGACGTTCAGGTTGGGTGTAACTCCGAGTGTTCATGCAATCACCAGACAACTGTTCACTTGTTCAGTTGTCTGATGATTGCCTAGCGGCATGAACACTCCGAGTTACAACCAACCAGAACGTCCTCCGCTGAGCCTGCTATATTCTAAGCTCTGTCTATGACATTGAGCACTCTCCGCAGGTCGGGGCTCGGGGGATCAACGGATTTGCTAGCAATAATAGTAAACATGTGTTGTGCATGGTGCCCTGTTATCGCACTTTCTGACTTCTTATTATCTTGTTACAGTCGTGGATAGTTGCTTTATAACTCGTTTCCATGTGATTTCTTCTATTTTAATGTGCATGACAGTGCGTGTGATTTGTTTTATTTGAACTTGGCATAGTGCGGCATCTGTTTGAGTAATACCTGTAGCTCACACTCCTTGATTCCCTGTGCTGTGTTCCGCTGTGCGTGTATAGCCTCCTCCAGACTTGACACGGCTGGGTGTGAAGGACACTGCCAAGCGTATCGTCCTGGGAAAAGTGAGTATTAACTGCATACTGTTTGTGCGGTATTTACACACACTGCAAGGCCCTTTTTGGAAACTGATCAAAGGTGGAAAGGAGATCAAGAACATAGCAGCTATTTTAAGTATTACCGGTATTCATAGATCTGCACTGTGGCAGCATTCATGTAATGGCTTGTGCAGACAAGCATAGAAGGTGAATTCTACATAGACGTTGCATGTCAATGCTGGAGAAGTAACGAGTAAAGACTACTCCATGGGAGTGTGATGTGTGACAGTTAGTGGAGACCCACAGGAGGACAAGGTCACATCCTCCCCGTCTTAGCTGATCTAAACTGTCCATCTGTTCCTTTGTGATAGCACACTTTTGCGGATATACCACACTGTTCACACCCTGCAAACATCCCAACGCCCTGTCCAGCTCTTGCTTGTCTGCCCATGCAACTAATGATGGACACTGCATTCCTTTTGCCGATGTGTTTCTGCTTGCTCAGCCCTATGTTCTGGAGTGTTATCGGTCAATTACTGAGAAAGCAGATCTTCTAAAAGAGGTGGTTGCCATGCACGATGGCAATGCTATATTGACTGTAAGTAGGGTGTTAGGGCCGGTGCCCACGCTACCTAAAACGGTATGACTGAGCGATGATAGAACTGAAGGCTACTCTGAACTGTGCTGTGCAGTGAAGCTGGTGCTTGGCGGTCACACCATCATGAGGCCATGGGGTACAAAAGCTGGTTTCCCAGCACAGAGGTGGTCTTTCTAAGCAGGTCTGAATGCATGAGAAGCCAGAATCTGGTGTTTTGGATGAGCGATCTCTAAAGTAGATGGTTTCTTATTGCACTGATTGCTTATCGCTGGTCTTGCTGGGCTGTCACATGTAATAGCAGCAAGAACATCAGTGCCAGTGATGATCACATGCTACTACAACCGTTCCTGGTGAATCCAGCACTTTATAATCCAGCACCCTCGATAAACCAGCACGATTTTCAGGAACCAAACTCTCGAAAAAAATCCAAATTATCCTATTCAGTATTCATGCAGATGGTAGCAGTAAATCCTACCCAGGACATGTCACACATGCACCTCATTGCCTCTGCTAACTACCGGCTAGAGTACAAGACTGCAGTAGATACAGTGGCATCTTTTCTGGTCTTGGATACCGAGCAACACTAGCTGCGTCGCATTGCCAAGGCTCAATTTTACAGGCTTTTTTCCGGTGGAGGGCTGTGTGTATTGGTTGCGAAGCGGTGAACGACTCTACAGTAACAGTTTGTGTCAGGTGCACGGGTGGGTTTGTGTGAATGCGTTTAGCATACTTGCTCAGACTGTTCACATTGAGAAATTGGGAGTGCAAACTCGTTGGGGACCATGTTGTCAGTCTACATCCTACCTTTGTTTGGTTTCTATGTACATATACGAGTACGAGTACGGTACATCTTGATTTTGTGACATAAAACAAACATGGCTGGGAAATGGAC